CAAGTATGTTAATCTTTTCCCCCTAATATGATCACGGGAAAAGAAAGATTTAAAAAGCCATAACTTACATAATGCATAAATGAGAATTTTCCTTGGATTTATTTCCAACCGAACTGCTGTTAAATATTCCCTGGGTGTTATGTGAACTGGACCCAAAGTGTGACATTTTCATTAGTCAGTTATAAGCTTTGCTTCTCTTTCAGATCACTTAATCAATTTCACAACCTTTAAAAACAGGAACATTCTTTTTCAGTCTAAATGCCAAGGCCAAAGGGTAGAATACATGCCAGGTCACGCCTGGCCCCTTGCCGATAAGAACGGCGATAATTCGACAAGGAAACGCAGTGCAAGCACAGCTAAAAACCCCAAAAGTGCAAAAAATGGCAGAAAAGGTGCCAAAAAGAGAAAATGAAATCTAGCCAAAATTCTCATTCATATGTACTTCATTAACAATTGTAGTTTCTCAAAATTTTGTCTGAAAATAGACATGAAAAACTATGACCAGCTACAACTCTGTTTTCCCGCATTTAGCTCATTGGAAGATACATATGCGTAAATGGAAAATCCACATATTCAAAGTATGCTTTCACTTAAGTCTCAAACGGTTAAATTTGTGAAACAACATTTGGTATATATTTATTATTGTTATTTATTAAACTTTTTAATTCAAGGTAAAACAAGGGTAAATAAAAATTTTATCTCCCCAATGGCCCTTATGTGATTAATAAAACTACACAAATAAACATCTGTTAAAAATGTAAATAAATATACATACTGTACATACATACATATCTGCATGTCTACGATACACGATTAGTTGGTGATCATCTTTGAAAGTCTGTCAAAATATTCATAAGTGTTGGATTACAATGGGGGTGCTTTCATGTGAAAGGGGATGGATTCGTCTTATAATAACAAACAATTTTATGTTTTCAAACATTGCTGTTTATTTTAAACTTTTTTAATTCTACGCCTAAAATGACACGAAAACAGCGCAAAACACTGGGACACAAACATACCAGTCTGTTTTGCAGCTGTATATTATGGAAAAGAAAGCTCTCCTAAAAGGACTGCATGTTTTGGTCATCCCAGGAATCATTTACGGCACATACACACACACACACACACACACACACACAAATTACCTTCGTCTCAAATTTTGATGGGTGACGAAAACGGGTTGTTGTGCATTACCATCGTTTCCATTTTCATCTTCGGTACAAAGTATGATCTCTCATACACGTGAACTATACAAATCGTTTAATTTCGGGATTTAAATACCTGAAATACACTCTGCTTTTCATAAAACAACAATGTTTAAGGAAATCCTGTCATCTGAGCGTGCAATCACAGATGTTATGACCCAATTCTGTTTCGTTTCCTTCAGACACGCGAGACACCGAAAACACAGCTAGCGTGTAATTTCATTTCTCCATTCAGATTCGGCCCAGGGACTTAGCGTAAATAGTGGAGATTACGTAATGTTCCGGTCACGTGAATATTAAATGAGAAAAAATAAATGAGCTAAGTGAAGTTAAGTGTTTTCTTCCCTAATCTTTGTATCTGCTCAATGTTACATTTTTTATTTATTAATATAAAGCAAAATACGATGCATATTCTAAGCGGAAAGCGTGCTCACATGATGATCGGTGCCATGTTGAATTATTGATGTCTATGTCATATATATATATATATATATATATATAT